GCCACTGCCTGTGGTCGGTGCTTGGGCCCTAATAGGAATTCTTTTTGTTTCAATAGGGCCTTCCCCACCACATGCGGGCATTGCCCTAATCTAATAACACTGTCAGTTTCAATTGGGTCCTTCCACCCTTTTTGGTGTTCGGGCCCCATAATAATTATTACTTCAGTTTAAAAGGGCCTACACCACTGCCTGCGGTCAGTGATCGGCCCTTATTCCTTATGTTTCAATTGGACCTTTGCCACCGCCTGCGGTTGGTACTCAAGCCATAATAATTCTGTCAGTTTCAATAGGATCCTTCCACCCTTTTTGGTGCTCAGGCCCTTATTAATAATTATTCCTTCTGTTTTAAAAGGGCTTTCGCCACCTCCTGGGGTCAGTGCTTGGCCTTTATTCCTTCAGTTTCAATAGGAACTTCGCCACCGCCTGCGATTGGTCCTTGGGCCCTAATAATTCCTGATGGCTGTGGCTCAGGAGGTAGAGTGGGTCATCTACTAATGGGAAGATCAGCGGTTTGATTCCTGGCTCCTCCACTCTACATGCTGAAGTATTCTTGGGAAAGATACTGAATAATGGGTAGCAGGTTTTATATGTTGTTATTTAAAAAAAAAAAACAAGGAAGCTACTACCAACTGCTGAAGTGTGGCGTAGATGGCTGTAGGAGGCTGTACACCCAGTGCTTGGCTGTGGGCCTTGGCTAACTGTCCAACCAAAGTTACTGTTGTGAAATGCTTTTGCTACTCGGCTTACAGTAAGTTACACTGCCAGCTGGGTGGTCTCAGTAAAATGAAATGAAAGATTGAACTGTGGCGCATCTAACAGAGCTATTGACAAAAGTTTCAACATTTATATGTATAATGTCCAAACTAAGCAGCTAACTGAAGCTAACTCAAGCAATTAGCCAACAACACGACAGCACTCAAACCTGGGGTTGAATTAAGACCTGCATTCATTCATGGTAGATGTGCAACGTGTTTTTTACTTAGAGCTTTGTTTCATGGAGGCCGTTCACAATATCATTTCTAAACAGTATTTATGGAATGAAAGGACATTGTATGTATGTCTGTCTCAACGTGTTTGAATAGGCACTGTATGTGTGGTCTGCTGATTTACAGGGGACAACACTGTTTAGCATTTTACATGTTGACTTCATCTGCTGCAATATCAGTTTAAGTTGCTTAAGTTACATTTTCTTTTGTCATTTGGAGCACTAATGGGAAGATCAGCAGTTTGATTCCTGGCTCCTCCACTCTGCATGCTTAAGTATTCTTGGGAAAGATACTGAATAATGAGTAGCAGGTGGCACATTATAATAATACTATACGATACAAATTCAGCAGACCACCATTAACAAAGAGACATCTGTAAAACTGTCGACAGGATGCCTTGAGGTGCAAACAAGGCCAATTATGACTCCTTCTTTTAAAAATTTTTGATCCATGGAAGTTGTATATTTGTAAAACTTTCCTCGAGCCAAGAAAAGCTCATGACCACAGGTGACGGTTGGGATGCAGATGCACTGGTAAATCAAGAGCTTTCCCTTCCAGCTCAGCTCCCTCTTCACCACCATGGTCCGATGCAATGCTCACATCGCAGCTGATGCCATGCCAAGCTGCCTGTCCATTTCATGCTCTATTTTTTTTTCACTGAACAAGACCAAGTGATACTTGCACTCTTTGCTTGGGCAGTAACGCTCTCCCAACCCAGAGAAGACAAACCATTTTCAAGCAGAGAATTATGGCCACTGGCTCTTATCTTGACCACCTCACACTTGGCTGCAAACCACCCCAGTGCGTGTCCACACCCCATGGTCTAACATGACCTACAGAACCCCATCATCTACAAATCCAATTGCAATTCTGATGATTCCGATGCAATTCTGATGATTCCGATGATTGCAAACCAATTGTCTGGATCAGTTCCAGTAACTGCTTGATGGTTAGCATGTGGAACAACTTGCCAGCAATGCATCGGTTTAGGATACTGAGATCCAAAATTGGTCTGAACTCTCCCGCCTTCTTGAGAACCAGGAAGTACATAGAGTAAAACCCCATCTGTGTGTCATGAGTGGGGGCAACAGACATAACCTGTTTCTGTAACAGGTCCTGGATCTCAACTGAGAGATGAGACTATAGCCCAGTCTCAGCGTCCTGTCCATCCTTTCCATCTGATTTTAGACAGCTCTTGACAGGCTTCACAGGGAGGTGGATGCTGAACACCACTCTCTGCATGGTCCACACTAGGGCACTTGAAGCAGCAGTCATGAAAGTCTCTTTGCACGATAATACAGGAACATGATGGCCACTGACAGTGATAGTATAAAATTTAAAAAAAATCCTTCTCCTAACTTACAAAGCTCTAAATGGTCAGGCTCCGTCATATCTTAGAGAGAGCTTCTGTTTCTCCTTTGCTAACATTCATGTCCTGTTACTGAATCCCGCAAACGCGGCTCTACTGCATGTCACTAACTTGGCTTCTTCTCCGGAGCCTTTGTGCTCCACTATGTGGCAGGTTACCTCGTATCGCAGCTGTGCCTGGATCATGTGATGTAGCTGTGCTGCTGCCGTGGTCCTGCCTGATGCCGCCGACTGCTGCTGTTATTATTAGTCCTATTTCTACTGTTATTATACACGATTATTATTGTCACATAAATATACTATCATATATTAACATATACTTACAACATATTGTAACACAATAGCCATAATTGTTATCATGATATTATTACTTAAATTAATAATGTTGTAAGCTACTGTCATTACTGTCTGTCGTGCATCTCTCTCTCTCTCTCTCTCTTTATGTCTCGTTTTGTCATATGGAATACTGTATATTTATTATGATGATCTGTTCTGTATGACATCTATTGCACGTCTGTCTGTCCTGGAAGAGGGATCCCTCCTCAGTTGCTCTTCCTGACGTTTCTACTATTTTTTTCTCCGTTAAAGGTTTTTTTGGGGGGAGTTTTTCCTTATCTGCTGTGAGGGTCCAAAGGACAGAGGGATGTCGTATACTGTATAGCCTTCTGAGGCAAAGTGTGATTTGTGATATTGGGCTTTATAAATAAAACTGAATAAGATGTTTTCATTTAAATTGTACTACTAGTTACCTATTAGGTAGTGCACAGTTCATGGTTTGTGTTAAATATGAGTTCACTTTCAACGTCACCCTAGGCAAGCTGCAAGACATCTGAACATCTTGCGATCTTAATTATTTTCTCCAGCTGTGTAGCTGTTTTCTGATCTGTTCATGGAAACTACAGTTTAATAAAATCATAGCTCCAGGTATTCAGCAACAGCCACCATTAGTTTGTTGTCATCGCTACGATAAAAGGTCTGCCTCTCAATTGATTCAACTGGACTAATGGGAAAAATGCAAATAACGTTATCTCAAGGCAATTGAATCGAACGCAACTGGACTTGGTTTTGTCTTAGAAGACGTTTCACCTCTTATCCAAGAGGCTTCATCAGTTCATGCTCGTCTGACTAGGCTGGAACTAGTCTGACAAACTGGTGTGGAAGCACCCAGGTATTTAACCTCTGGGGAGGTCTTCACAAGGCCAATGATGTCACTGGTTCGTTAGTGCTCCAATGGTGTGTCACCGACAGTCGTTGAAACTCCTGCTGCAATGGTTGTCACTGGAGTCGTTAGAGTCACATGAGGCCATTTGTGAACGACCATTGTTTTTAGAGGTTAAGTTGTTAAGCCTCCTGGGCAAGGATGAAAGGACAGTATTATAGGTGGGGGATAGGTGGTGTCGCAGACCTCCTCCTCTATTGAGAGATGGCTTTTCCAATTTCACATAGATGGCTTCTTTTACACCTCTTTCAAACCATCGGTCTTCCCTGTCCAAAATGTGCACATTGCTGTCTTCGAAGGAGTGTACTTTCTCCTTGAGGTGTAGATAGACAGCTGAGTCTTGCCCTGAAGAGTTAACCCTTCTATGTTGGGCCATGAGTTTGTTTAGTGGTTGTTTTGTTTCACCAATGTACAAGTCTGGGCATTCCTCACTGCATTGGACAGCGTACACAAGGTTGCTCTTCTGAGTGTGTGGTGTACGGTCTTTTGGGTGTACCAGTCTTTGTCTGAGTGTGTTACTGGGTTTGAAATACACAGGGATGTGGTGTTTGCTGAAAATCCTCCTGAGTTTTTCAGATACCCCAGACACATAGGGGATGACAATGTTATTGCGCTTGTTCTTTTCTTCCTCACCCACCTTGTTCTTTCTGGAACAGGCTGCTGATTTCACAAAAGTCCAAATGGGGTAACCACAAGTTTTTAGAGCCTCCCTCAGATGTTCATGCTCTTTCCCTTGGGCCTGAGTGCTGGTAGGTACGTTATCAGCTCTGTGTTGTAGGGTCCTGATAACACCTAGATTGTGTTCCAGTGGGTGGTGAGAATCAAACAGTAAGTATTGGTCTGTGTGAGTGGGTTTCCTGTATACCCCAATGTGGAGGCCTCTGTCCTCTGTAATGTGCACGTCACTGACATCATTGGCCTTGTGAAGACCTCCCCAGAGGTTAAATACCTGGGTGCTTCCACACCGGTTTGTCAGACTAGTTCCAGCCTAGTCAGACAAGCATGAACTGATGAAGCCTCTTGGATAAGAGGTGAAACGTCTTCTAAGACAAAACCAAGTCCAGTTGCGTTCGATTCAATTGCCTTGAGATAACTATGACCTGGATGAATGAGAATATCCACAGGCACGCAAATAACGTTATGCTCTTTTCTGCTCTGAGTCAAAGTTTTTTTAACTTCATGCACTCAGGGCACTCCTGTTAAAACTCAAGGCGCATAAAGTGAAAATAGCGAGGCGCTCAGCAAAGCAAAAGCAGCAAACAAACAATTCAATCTCATTGAAAACAATTCTGAAAAGCCCGCCCAAGCTGCTAAAAAGTGCTCTGTTAGGCCTATTAACTGCGTTTCAGTTTATCTCTGAGCAACAGATACAAAGGCAATGAGACATACAGATTAACAGTCTCTCTCTCACACACACAGACACACACTTCTGTGTAATTGCCGCGCTTGCTGTAGATGGCAGACAGGAGGCGGTAACATTCGATACAACTGCCCTCTCTTGATATGATGTCCAGGGTCATCTTCTCTGCTTCTTTGGTACGACCAGCCATGGCTAAAACCTGAGCCTGGGACAAAAACAGAATGGGTGAATACGTGTGTGTGTGTGTGTGTGTGTGTGTGTGTGTGTGTGTGTGTGAAACAGTTTTGTTTCAGGTTTTGCCAAAATGTTGGAGACCAGACGGATGTTGCATTAGTGAATATCCAGGATGTGGCAGCTTTCCCAACCCACACACTCACACACGCGCACACACACACACACACACACACACACACACACACACACACACACACACACACACAGATGTCCTTGCATGTCATGATTCAGTGACAGGTGAGTGAATGTGTGTCTCTTTACCAGAGCCAGCCAGATGTCCGTGCTGTCTGGCTGAAGGCCGACGGCCTCTTTGTACACCTGCAGGGCCTCCTCGTACCGGCCCGTGTTGTAGTACAGAGCCCCGAGCGGAGTCAGGATGTCCACCTTCCTCGTCACCTGCAGTGCCCTGCAGGAAAAGGTCAAACGTCACAGAGGACGACTTTCAACGGTTGTGATTCTCTTTAAATAAAGTGTTTCAAGGTGTACAGTGATAAAACATAGAAATGTGTACAGTATAATTAGTGAACACTTGATTGAGGGTTATGGTTGGTAATTAAAGAGAACCTACTGTGCTTTTTCTTTTCCCTCCTCTTTAGTGTTTTATATAGCAGTAAGCCAAAAGCCCGAAGTCCACGCTAAAAGGAGCTCTCTCTCCCCACAGAGACACAGCTCCTCAGCAGCCTGAACCTCGTTTGCATGCCTGGCTTTATTTCCGTAACTTGGTTGCATCACAATGTAACACATTATCTATACACACAGTGCCCGCCTGCCAGCCACTGAGCCACGCCCCCAAACAAGCCTACTTTTCTTTATTGTATTGTATAGCATTATAGCTGTAGGCCTCGGCTAACTGGCTAACCAAAGTTATTGTTTTGAAATGATTTTGCTACTCGGCTTACAGTAAGTTACACTGCAAGCTGGGTGGTCACAGTAAAATGAATTGAAAGATTGAATTGTGGCGCATCTTACAGAGCTACTGACAAAAGTTTCAACATTTATATGTCTAATGTTTGAACTAAGCAGCTACCTGACGCTAGCTCAAGCAATTAGCCAACAACACGACAGCACTCAGACCTGGGGTTGAATTAAGACCTGCATTTATTCATAGTAGATGTGCAACAGGATTTTTACTTAGAGCTTTGTTTCATGGAAGCTGTTCACAATATCGTTTCTAAACAGTATTTATGTAATGAAAGGACATTGTATGTATGTGTGTCTGTCTCTAAATGTGTCTGAATAGGTATGTGTGGTCTGCTGATTTACAGGGGACAACACTGTTTAGCATTTTACATGTTGACTTCATCTGCTGCAATATCAGTTTAAGTTACTTAATTTTCTTTTGTCTTTTGGAGCACATCACAGCAGGGCCCTGGGAATCATGCCCCTCTCCACTATAGACAGATTCCATGATGTAGGAAACCAAATGGACCCTCCACAAACCGTCTGAATGGGTACACAGTCTGTGGCATCTTAAATGATGGCAGCCATCAGCACACAGCTGTAAAAGGCTACTCTGAGGGAGTATCCCGAGAAGCAAAGATATATAACACAGAAATTATATGTTTTTGTGTTTGAGATACAGTACCTGTAAATAGATTTCACAAATGTCATATTTTGTGTATATGTTACTATGAGCTATTAGCAGAGATTTAAAAAACAAAATGTTGGAAAAGTAAAGCAAAAATGTATTATTTTAGTTTTGTTTTACCCTCAGCAAAGAAATAAAAAGTAAAAAATAGCTCTACATACAGTATAATTTCTAAACAATTTTATTTTCATTACCAACATAATAACATCAGATAAAAGATATGAAATAGTTATGGGAACACTTGAAATATATACAAGGAAGGTGGATTAAGGGAAGCACCTAATTAAAAAAAAACAGGAAATCAATCAATACTTAAAGAGGCAACAGATAGCATGTTTTCCTAAATATATCATTATGAAAATAATGTGGGTTGCACAGGGTAGTGGCCACAGTAAAATCAGACTATCAGCATTTACATAGGTTACTTAGTGGCTTTGCAATTTTTTTAATAAGCTTCTGCCACCGGGGGCGAAATTCCGTGGAAAAAATCTGCTTCACGGCAGAAAACACGACATGTATTGCGAAACTGGTTGGTCAGCCAATCAGGGACTGGAGCTGGTCCTTATGAGGAGTTGGGCATGAGAAAGTTGAGTCAAAAGCACAATGGCAGAAAGACAAAGTTTGGAAACAAGTAAAAAAAAGCCTAGCAAAAGAAAAAGAGCTCCTCTGTATGAGGAGGCAAAGAAGAGCAAAAAGGAGAGTGATAAAAGAAGAGGAAAAATGAGTAAACCTCAGTAAGGCGTTCAAGAGATGGAGGGAGCTCCGTGACCAAAGAGGCTTCAAAACCGATTTCCAGCTAGCTTTCTTTCTAATGGATCAGTCAGTAACACAGCTAAATGTTAGCTAGACGAGAGAGGACTGTACTGTACTGGCTATTAGTTAACTCCTAGCTGGCCAGCATCGCAAATCGCCGCAACCAGGGACCGGGTAGCGAGTGTTGGTCAGCTGACATCCTCGTTGCCGTCTACGGCAGCCCTTGGACAGTGATACCCTCCTCCCTTCCTTCTGTTCTCTTCTCATCGCCCAGCTAAGTTATGCCCAGTTAAGTGAACACTGGACTTTTCACTGCAACAGCCTTAGACTGAGGAGCATCAAAATCTGGTAACATTAGTCCACACAGCTCTCCCCAGCTGACCTGAAGAGCAGGGAGATCATGTTGGTCACTGGCCATAAATGTGAGGGCAGCCTTCGCAGCTACTGGGCACCCAGCATCTCTGATTAGGAGAAGTGGAGTAAAATCCTCTCCTGTGCTCCCGTTTGTCTGGTGAATACCTCTCCTCTGTCAATACACTCTGCCAGCAATTTAATTATATTGATGCCAGTTGTAACATTTGAATGTTTTAGTAGTAAGCCATGTTCTAAGCGGGATAATGTACAGTGAGCCGTTGACAGTTGAAAAATAACTCCGCTGAGCGTCAGGGTTCCATTCCCCTGTCGGGAGTTATTTTTCAACAGTCACCGGTTCACTATGCATTATCCTTTACGTGTCTACTGTTGTTTGTACTGATACTGTACATATTGGTATAATTTACTATGATTTGATGTACTGGTACTGTGCATTCTGGTATAATTATTTGCATTACTATTTGTTTTTTCTTCAGATAAATCTGATAATTGTAGCTCGGTCTCTTAACTCATTTATTTAGTAAAGTGTACACACACCTTCTCATTCTACATATATAGAGAGGTATACTGGTGGCTTTACAGCCTACATTTTATTGATTATCTCTGATCCCCACGGTCAATTTGGTCGTTGCGACAGTGCGAGCAACACCACTGACACTAGGTGGCGGCAAGCAAAAAAAAAAAAACCCGAATCTGTTGCCTCTTTAAATTCAAAATTTTACAGACTGTAGAAGACCTGATGAGGCTCATCTTTGTGGTGTTTGAGAACCCAGTGCCATTTGCTGAGGAGATCCAGAAATCCCCATCCCAAAGGACCTGGCATCCCAGTGAGAGACCCACATTTAAGAGTAGCTACTGTTTGTCATGGCCGTAGCCAGCTATGAGGTCACCGAAGTCTGGACCTTGGAAAAAAATTCAAAGAGAAAAAAATAGAAGCCCCAAACAGCATGGTAAACATATTAACACAACGAACAGCTTTTATTTTGAAACAATATGCAGCAAGTTATCTGATGTATTGGCAGTGTTTCCCATACACTGACGAGACTATGGCAGCTAGCCATAGTCTAATTTGCCCCGCCATAGTCTCCAAAAATCGGCCAGATATAAAATGCCTCCAGTAAATGAACGTCACTCTGTAGCGCACCAGCTGGAGCGCCCAAGCCACGCTCTATTGTGCTCACCTGTGTGTGTGTGTGTGTGTGTGTGTGTGTGTGTGTGTGTGTGTGCGTGCGTGCGTGCATGCGCACATGTGTGTGTGTTCGCGCGCGCGCGCATCGGTGCAAAACTCTGCTGTGCGCGATACAGAGAGCAGAGGAGAATTGTAAATGTGAAACCATGTAGAGACAGAAATGACATGCCGTCATGTAAATAAGATAAATAACATGAGGCTATTTAGTTTGTTTAATAAAAGGACAAGGTATAGACCTGTTCTATAGGCCTGGATATGAAGCATCGTAGCACCAAATAATATAACAGTAGTTTCTAAAGAGCTAAGATAAAAAAAAAAATTAATAATAATAATAATAAATAAATCAGCAGCGGTGGTCATATAGTTGCATATAGGGGAAACACTGGCCCTCCAGAGGCAGATCAGTACGTTAGTCATTTTTCTTTGATTACTGAAATGTTTAACCACTAATCCTTAGCCATATTTTAAGTGTAACCCTTCACCATAACATACCACTAGTGTTTTTATCAGTAAAAATAGAACATTTTTCACACATAAAAAGCACAAAGATGTTGAAATCTAGACATATTCTGCCATGATAAATTGGCTCTCAGAATTCACCAGACTGATGCCTTTAAAATGCAAATTTTTCTCCCGGGGGAGCATGTCCCCGGACACCCCTAGAGGGTTATTAATTTGTTGTTGTTGCATTACTCTTGCTAGCCTAGAATTTGATAATAATCACATGCAATAATTCAAACCTTAATCAACCTCCTTGATCCCCCGCTACAGAAAACATTTTGGTCATTTGGTATGAATTTTGCTAAAACTGGTTAAAGGGGTCTCTTTACCTCTCACCTTAATATGTCTCAGTGAAAATGGGTTTCTAGCCCATAAGAACCCACTATGACACAGGTGCCACACGTCCTTTAAATGTTCTGGAAAATTCCATAAACAGCTTTCTCCTTGACTTTAACTCATGAAGTCCCAGAGTGACACATACTTAACATCCTGGTGGATCATGTGACAGGTCATGTGATTTGGTCTTCCCACAACAACATTTCCAAGATGTCTGTGTGCCAGGTTACCACTAGGGGCAGAGCTAGCTAAATTTAAAAAGCTTGTTTTTGGTTGCCAAAGGTAAGATTCAAACCATTTAAGAATTGTAATGCTTACATAACAAGTCCTTTATTACATTTAACCTGCTGTGAACACATTTCATGAACAAATTGATAGAAAACAAGTCAGGTAAATATCGTTGTGACATATATGTCACATCGGACCTTTAACCTTAAAATTGTCATGGAAAACCTATTGTGACATATATGTCACAATAAGAAATTTTTTTATGATCTGCTCAGTTAACTTAACTTTTTCAATGATATTTAGTTAATACATTTTATATTGTTCAATTCAAAGCATATTAAAACAAATGTAAACAAAAAATCACATTATATGAATCCAATTATTAACAAAATATATAAGGAAACCATTTTTACCCATCAGTGAATAAAAAAACAGACCC